GAGCCCCCAAGCCCAGCTAACATCCTAGTGTTTTTTTGTTCTGCATTCAGCAGTTCTCAAAGCTGGGTGAGCACCAGAATCCTTTGGGGGGATTTAAGAAAAAGAAAAAACAAAAACAAACAAACAAAAAACAGCTTCCAGGGATCTATCCCAAAGAGACTGAATCAAAATGTATAGGGGTAGCCGGCTGCAGTGGCTCACGCCTGTAATCCCAGCACTCTGGAAGGCCAAGGTGGGTGGATCACCTGAGGTCAGGAGTTCAAGACCAGACTGGTTAACATGGCAAAACCCCATCTCTACTAAAAATACAAAAATTAGCCGGGTGTGGTGGTGCATGCCTGTAATCCCAGTTACTCAGGAGGGTGAGGCAGGAGAATCACTTGAACCTGGGAGGTGGAGGTTGCAGTGAGCCGAGACCGTGCCACTGCACTCCAGCTTGGGCAACAGAGCGAGACTCTGTCTCAACAACAACAAAAAAATTGGCCAGGTGCAGTGGCTTACACCTGTAATCCCAGCACTTTGGGAGGCCAAGGCGGGCAGATCAGGAGGTCAAGAGATCAAGGCCATCCTGGCCAACATGGCGAAACCCCGTCTCTACTAAAAATACAAAAATTAGCCGGGCATGGTGGCGCACACTTGTAGTCTCAGCTACTCAGGAGGCTGAGGCAGGAGAATCACTTGAACCTGGGAGGTGGAGGCTGCAGTGAGCTGAGATCGCACTACTGCACTCCAGCCTGCCGACAGTGTGAGACTCCGTCTCAAACAAACAAAAAAACAGCAACAAAAAAATCACCACCTCCAACCAGAAAGGCTGGGAGGGAGTGCTTCCTTACCTCCCTACCATGGAGACTGCTAGGAAGACCAGAACTTGCTGGAACCACGGGGAGCTGGATGCCCTGAACTTCCCCTGGCAGAGGCGGGGAAGCCCTGGTGGTCTCTCCTAGCAGAGACTCCAGGATTCCAGGACACCCTCCTGGATGCAACAGTCTGACTCCAAGAGGCGCAGAGGCCAGGCAGCCTCCAGGCCTATCCCAGGGGAGCCATCAGGCCGGCGAGGTTGATTCATCACTGCTGAGCACAGTGGCTGTTGTCTGCCTCAAGCGCTATTTTTTTTCCCTTCTTCTTTTAAATGACTAATCAAAGTCAATATCACTAGTGCAGAGAGGCCCGGAGCTGAGTCAGGGGTGTGCGAGAGGCCAAGCTGGGTCTCCAGGAAAGACGGCTGTGCAATCTGAGTCTCCTCACCCTGTCCCCAGCCTCCAGGTCTGTGTACACCAGCTCCCCACCCTGCAGAGTCTGCCCCTTCACAGGGCCCCAGAGCGGCTCAGGGAGGCAGCTTCAGGCCATGGAAGGGGCCAGGCTCTGCCCCCACAGGCTTCGTGGCCTCAGATAAACACCTGGTCCTTTCTGGACCTGTTTTCTGACCTGTAAGATAGGAGGTTGAACTACATGGTCCCAGGAAGCCATTCCATCTGCACCCCAGATGAAAGTGTACCCAAATGCATCGTTCATGCTGGGAAACCCCTGGGAGGTAATGGAGGAAGGACTGGGGGAGCCCTGTCTGACTCCTGTTCTTACACCCTCATGCCTGCCACTCTGCAAGGCAGGTAACACTGGCTCCATTCTGCAGATGAGGAAGTGAGCAGAGGGAGATTAAGGATGAACCTGCCCGGTGTTGCCTCCCAACCGCCAGACTCTTCCCAGCAACGAGAGAGAGAAAGGGAACTGGTGGGCAAAGCAGGGCCCTGGGCCTCCCCATCCAGGCCTGCCTGGTGAATTGGGCCCTCATGGGCTGCTCCAGTGAGTTGGGCCCCCGTCTAGACCTCAAGGCAACTCAGGGGGCCCCAGACACCAGCTGTCAGGACCACCTGCTATTCTCTCCTGGTTGGGTATTCCAACCTCTCTGCCTTCACTAAGCTGTCCCCTCCTTTGGATCACCATCTCTCCTCCTGTTCAAATCCAGCTCCTGCTCCTGGGCTAGCCCAGGGTCTCTTCTTCCAGGAAGCCTTCCAGGATTGTACTGCTCCAACTCTCCCTCCTTGCTACGTCCTCAGCCTCCTGCAACAGGTCCCATGTGTCTGTCCCACATGACCTGGTACATAGACAAACACTGTTCTGGGCCCAGGGAGGGACAGGTCAGCTCTGCAAAGTCCCCAGGAAGAAAATCAGGGAGTCTCTGAGTTGAGGGGAGGAGGCAGCTACAGCCCAAGTAGGGCTCCCTGGGGATGCCCTAACCCAAAAGTCTCTCCCTGGCTGTGTGATCCTGGCCCTGTCTTCAGTCTCTCTTTGCCACCTGTAACCTGCAAATGACCTTTCTGATCTCTGCAACAGCACTGAGGCCTCCTGGCTAGTCCCCAGTGACCCCCTTCACTCCCCGTCTGCAGAGGGAGAGGTGGGAGCTGGAGAAGGCCGGAGAAGGCTGGAGAAGGCTGGAGAAGGCTGGAGAAGGCTGGAGAAGGCTGGAGGGCTGGGCCGGGCCTGCAGAGTGAGGAAACGCGCCAGCTCCTTCCCCAAGTGTGACTTTTATAAATAAGCTCCCTTCGCCTCCTTCCAAATGTGGTGGCGTTGGGTGGGGGAGAAGGAGAAAGAAGAGGGAGGAGGAGGAGGAAGAGGGAGGGAGGGAGGGCTGGGAGCGGTGCATAGCCACTGTCCCCAGCACCATCTCTGTTCAGCCCAGTCCAGCCGGCCCCAGTCCAGCCCAGTCTAGCCCAGTCCAGCCCAGTCCAGCTCAGCCAGTGCTGGCCTCTTCCTTCCTGGGGATTCTGGGCTGAACATTCTGACTCCTGGGGTTTCAGGTCTCCTACAAATGCGGAGCTGGAGTCAGGAGACCTGTGGTCCCGCCTCTTGCCTGGAGAAACTAAATTCTAGGCTTTCCCATCCCCACTTCACAGATGGGAACCTCAGGTCCAGAGAGAAAGCAGCCCTGTGGGAATGGCGGCCCCACCAAGACTGACTGTCTCATCCCACCCCGTGTGGGCTCCTGCCAGCCGTCCTCCTGTCTGCTAGAAAGCCCTCCCTGGGCAGGGCCACCCAGCAATGGGTACAGCCTCCCCAGGCTCTGAATGCCTTGTGTGGGGAGGGTGGGGGCGTCTGGAGCGGAAGCCTCAGACCATTCAAACCAAAGCCTGGCTTCACCATCTAATCAGGGGGCGAGGAGATAGTAACAGAGACAGACATCAGAGCAAAAAGATCTGGGTTCAAACGCTTCACAACCCCAGCTCCACTGGCTGTCCCCCAGTGCCAGCCAGGCCTGAGTCTATCTTCAGGGATGAGGCAAAGCCCTTTTCTACCACCCCTCCCTCTAGCAGGCAAGCCGCATCTCCTTTGTGCCTCAGTTTCCCCTTCAGCTAGGGGGATGAAGGCTGACATGCTAGAGGCTGTTATCCTATGTAAGGGCCCATGGTTCCCCTGACCACTTGGTTCCCACACATACCCTCGCGTAACCTACCAGGCACCCAAACATCAGCAAATTACACCACACAGTCATCCATCACCAGGAAAACACTCATTCTGACTCAACGGAGCTCAGGAAACTTGAGGGCAACCACAGGGGCCGCGGGGGAAGTGTTTAGAGTCCATATGCGACTTGAGGGACCATCTTCTTCCTTTGAAACCTCATGGGGTTTACCCCAGGGGCCGGGCGCTGGGCCAGGAATAGCAGGTCTGGAGGCAAAGTGTAGGCTGTGGTACCAGAGCAAGTCAGGGAGATGAAAGCAGGAGAGCCCAGGTCCCGGTTCCAGGATGCCCAGGAGGCAACCATGACATAATGGGGCAGACAGGCTCCAACTCAGGGAGCCTCTGGGTCGAGGAGACAAGCCGTGGGGTCAAACACCCAAAGGACACTTGACATTTTCCACAGGAGGGGACCTCAGGGTTCTAGTTCCTAGCTGAGGGCGCAGGGTTGGGGTGGGGTTGGGGAGGCTCCCGGGGATCAGCAGGCAGGGCTGCTAGCCAGGTGGCCAGCCAGGGGACCAGATGACCAGATGAGACTCAATCTAGTCTTGAGCCTTGATCCCCCCCGCCCCACGGGACACACCCAGGAAGGCTTCATTTCCGTCACTGTCCTCCACTCCCGGTCACCATTCTCCTGGGCTCCTCAATCCTAAGGGCAGAGGCCAGGGGAAAGGGACCCACGCAGGCTGCCGGGGTCTCTGGGCTGGGAGAGGGTGGGCTCTGACTCAGAACATTTGTGCATCCTCCTACTTCCCTCAAACCCCGCCCCAGGAGCCACACCCCAGGGGTTTCTGATATACAGGTGGAAAAATAGATTCAAGTCTCAAGGAACCCTGAAGGGTCTGAAACGCCAGCCAGGGCTGCCCGGAAGCCCGAAAGTGGACAGGTGGACCGGGGGCGGGTGTGACCGCCCCCCATCCCCAGACCTGGGGCGGGCAGTGGATCCCTACCTCGACCTAGCGGAGGGGGAGCCACAGGTGATGGGAGCCACAGGTGACCAGGGTGGCATGAGGAGGCCGCCCCCACCCGACGGCCAGGTTTCCGCAGCGCGCCCCGCAGCGGGGGCCCCGCTCAGGGGACCGGCCCCGGCCCACCGCGGTCCCCTCGTCTGTCTACACCAAGGGGGTTCCCACCGCTGTCCCCTCGTCTGTCTACACCGAGAGGGGACGAGAGGTCAGAGATGAGGGACAGTGGGGGGGCCAGAGACAGGGCCTGCTCTGCGGGAGGAGGAAGAGGTCCCGCCACCGAAACCCCATCATACCCTCTGAACCCCCCAAATCAAGGGGGCCCCGAAAAGTTTATCCAGGACCCCGGACTCCAGCCGACCGTCCACTTGTCAGCGCGGCCGAGCTCACGCGAGCCCGTGACCCCGAGTGGGTCCGAGGGGCGGAACCCGGAGGGGGGTCAGGGTCCCCGGCTCGCCCCGCTCCCTCCAGCCGCGGCTGGGGGCGCAGGAGTGGCCGCCCTCCTGGCCGCGGGAGCCGGGCTGGGAGTATTCGGCGCGTTGGCGCGGGCGGCGGGCGGCCGCGCGCGGGGGCCGGACTCACCGTGCGGAGCTCCTGGGTTCGGTCCTTCATGCTCCCGGGAGTGGCAGCGGCGCCGGCTGCAGCCGTGTGAGCCCCGCATGCGCGACGGCCGCCCCGCGGCTGCGCAGCACCAGCCCGGCCCCGCCCCGGCCCCCGGGACCCCGGCTCCGCCCCACCCCGCCCGGGCCCCGCCCATACCCCGCCCCGACCCCGCCCCACCCCACAAGAGCAGCCCCGTGGGGGTCGAAGCCCTGGGGTCTCCTCCTGGACGTTCCGCACGGGTGATCGCTCCCGGGCATGGGTCCCCAGAGACCCTGTTGCCTCCTCTGCCCCAGCTCCGTCTCATTTTTTATTATTTTTTGAGACAGGGTCTCGCTCTGTCGCCCAGGCTGGAGTGCAGTGGTACAACCATAGCTCACTGCAGCCTTGAGCTCCTGGGCTCAGGCAGTCCTCCCGCCTCAGCCTCCTGGGTGGTTGGGACTACAGTTGCTCGCCACTACTCCTGAATAATTTTCAAATATTTGGTAGAGACAGAGTCTTGCTGTGTTACCCAGGCTGGTCTCGAACTTCTGGCCTCAAGTGTTCCTCCCTCCTCTCAAAGCTTTGAGATTGTAGGCATGAGCCACCGTGCCCGGCTTCCAGCCTCTTCCCTACTTAGCTGCTCAACATTCCTGTCCCAGAATCTGGTCCTCATCCCCAGATCCCTTCACTTCCCCAGAATTTGCTGGAGGTTGTAACTCCCTCCTTCATTCCATTCCCTTGGGACCTCCTGCACTCCCTTCTGTTCCCCAGCCAAAAACCTCCCGGAGAGTTCCAGCCTGGGAGCCTCCACCCTTCCCCCTTGCTCCCATCATCCAGTTGGGACTCAGCCACTGGCTCCTTCTTTCTCTAGGATTTCTCAGTTCGCAGCTCTGATGCTGTGTGACCCACCCCTTTTTCCTGCAGGATACAGGAACTCCTCTATTTTATTTATTTATTTATTTATTTATTTATTTATTTATTTATTTATGAGATGGAGTTTTGCTCTTGTTGCCCAGGCTGGAGTGCAGTGGCACAATCTTGGCTCACTGCAACCTCTGCCTCCTGAGTTCAAGTGATTCTCCTGCTTCAGCCTCCCAAGTAGCTGGGATTACAGGTGCCTGCCACCACGCCTGGCTAATTTTTTGTATTTTTAGTAGAGATGGGGTTTCGCCATGTTGGGTAGGCTAGTCTCGAACTCCTGACCTTGTGATCCGCCTGCCTCGGCCTTCCAAAGTGCTGGGATTACAGGCGTGAGCCACCACACCCAGCCTAATTTTTTTTTTTTTTTTTTGAGATGGAGTCTCTCTCTGTTGCCCAGGCTGGAGTGCAGTGGCACAATCTTGGCTCACTGCAACCTCCGCCTCCCGGGTTCAAGCAATTCTCCTGCCTCAGCCTCCCGAGTAGCTGAGATTACAGGCACCCGCCACCACACCTGACTAATTTTTTTGTATTTTTGGGAGAGACGAGATTTCACCATGTTGGCCAGGCTGGTTTCAAGCTCCTGACCTCGATCTGCCCGCCTCAGCCTCCCAGAGTGCTGGGATTACAGGTGTGAGCCATTGTACCCAGTCAGGAACTCCTCTATCTTTGGGAAAGAGATGTGAATTTTAGCCCCCTCTCCTTCTCCTTTCCCTGCATCCCCAGTCCTGAGCTCTGGCTCTAGGCCTGAGGTTGTATTTTCTCTTTTTTCCTTTTTGTAGAGACGGGTTCTCCTCGTGTTGCCCAGGCTGGTCTCGAAGTCCTGGCCTCAAGCGGTCCTCCTGGCTTGGCCTTCCAAAGCACTGGGATTGTGCTTGGCCAAGGTAGGTTCTATTTTCTGTCTAGAAGCCTGGGGCCTGGCTTCCTCTAGGACTCATGGGAAAACCTGTGGAGGAGTGGGAGTAGGGGGGCCAGTCAACAGCAGATGTTCTTTTGAAGGTCCCTGCCAGCATCTTGTTGCAACAGTGGTCTCGCACACACCCCCATAAGCCCGCTGTGCCCTCTACCACCCCCAGCTGTCGCTTCTGTGGCCCACACCCTCTTGACCCTAAGCCAAGCACACCCCTTCCCTTACCCAGGACTGCCAAAGCATTGGAGCTCTGGAGCCAATCCAGCCCCCTGCTGCCCAGTGTGTCTGGGCCTGGCACCTCTCCCAGACTATGGGCACAGGTTAGCTGGCTGCCAGGCAAGCTAGGGACACTGTTCCAGCTTTCCCTTCTTCCCTGGAAAATCTGGCCCAAGACGGTCAGATGTGGCCTGGCAGGGGGGACAGCCACACCCCCTTCCAGTTGTCCCGGCTTCAACTTTGGGTGCCCCACAGAATGGGCATTGATGGGGTCCCATTTGACATAGGAAAAGCAAGGATGTAAGTGCTAGAGGAACTTGCCCAAAGATGACAAGTGACAGGGGAGGCTGCCTGACTCCTGGTCTAGCCTGCAGGGTGAGTCAGTGGGGTGGGTCACACGTATGTCCCCGGAGCCCAGTGTCTGGCCCCGTGGGGAGAGGGCAGGAGAGGGAGGCTCAGCTCCTGCCCTCTGAGAGCCCTGGTGTCACACCAAGCATCACTCATTGAGATGCATATTAAATAGTAGCATGAAAAATGAATAAAGAAATGAATGTGGCCAGGCACAGTGGCTCATGCCCATAATCCAGCAGTTCGGGAGGCCAAGGATGGAGGATTGCTTGAGGCCAGGAGTTTAAGACCAGCCTGGGCAACATAGCGAGACTTTATCTCTAAAAAAAAAAAAAAAAGAACCTATGACTTTCACTTCACTCTCTTTTTTTTTGTTGTTTGTTTGTTTGTTTGTTTTTGAGGCTGAGTCTCATTCTCTCGCCCAGGCTGCAGTGCAGTGGTGCAATCTAGGCCCACTGCAACCTCCACTTCCCATGTTCAACTGATTTTCCTGCCTCAGCTTCTTGAGCAGCTGGGATTACAGGCACCCACCACTACTCCCGGCTAATTTTTGTATTTGTAGTAGAGATGGAGCTTCACCATGTTGGTCAGGCTGGTCTTGAACTCCTGACCTCAAATGATCCACCTGCCTCGGCCTCCCAAAGTGCTGGGATTAAGGTGTGAGCCCCTGTGCCCGGCTTTTTTATTTTTATTTTTATTTTTGAGATGGGGTCTCACTCTGTTGTCCAGGCTGGAGTCCATGGCACAATCTCAGCTCGCTGCAACCTCCACCTCCCAGGTTCAAGCGAACCTCCCTCCTCAGCCTCCTGAGTAGCTGGGACTACAGGCATGAGCCACCACTCCTGGCTAATCTCTGTATTTTGGTAGAGATGGGGTTTCGTCATATTACCCAGGCTGGTCTCGAACTCCTGGACTCAAGCGATCTACCCGCTTCCCAATGTGCTGGGATTACAGGCATGAGACACTGCACCTGGCCTTGCCCTTCACTTTAAACTCTGCTTTTCTGCTAAGTATTTTCCTCATTTAATCATTCATTCATTCATCAAACATTAAATGGGAAACCGTGCTCTGGGGCCACTGTTCTGCACTCAAGACGTTCCCACTGCAGTTGGGGAGACAGACATGGTTTTAGCAGGTTAGGGAACCAGAGTGGCTTCCCAGAGGTGGTGACATTCGAACAGGTTCTTGCAGTGGGATTGCAGCAGGGAGTGGACAAAGGAACGACGCTGGGGCAGGGGTGGGGGTGGGGAGCTCTCAAAATGGAGCACTCTACTGGGAGCCCCTCAGGAGCCTGCTGTGGCACTCTGGTGGGAATGGGTAGACATAGGTGGGGGATGAGCCCAAGGAGGGAGGAGGCCTTGGATGCTAAACTATTGTGCAGACAAGGGAAGCCCACTGAGGGCCAGATTATCATTCCTTTATTTATTTATTTAGAGACTGAGTTTCACTCTTGTCGCCCAGGCTGGAGTAAAATGGCACAATCTTGGGCCACGGCAACTTCCACCTCCCGGGTTCAAGCAATTCTCCTGCCTCAGCCTCCCAGATAGCTGGGATTACAGGCATGAGCCACCACATCCGGCTAATTTTTTTGTATTTTTAGTAGAGATGGGGTTTCTCTATGTTGGCCAGGCTGGTCTCGAACTCCTGGACTCAAGCGATCTACCCGCTTCCCAATGTGCTGGGATTACAGGCATGAGCCACCACATCCGGCTAATTTTTTTGTATTTTTAGTAGAGATGGGGTTTCTCTATGTTGGCCAGGCTGGTCTCGAACTCCTAACCTAGGTGATCCACCCACCTCAGCCTCCCAAAGTGCTGGGATTATAGGCATGAGCTACCATGCCCAGCCTTCATTCCTTTATTTAAAAAGTATTTATTAGGCTGAGTGTGGTGGTGGCTCATGCCAGTAATCCCAGCACTTTGGGAGGCTGAGGCAGGAGGATTGCTTGAGGTTGGAAGTTCAAGATCAACCTGGGCAACACAGGGAGACTCCCATCTCTAGAGAAAAATCTTTTTCTGAAAATTAGCTGAGCATGGTGGTGCACACCTCTACTCTCAGCTACTTAGGAGGCTGAGGTGGGAGGATTGCTTGAGCCCAGGAGTTTGAGCCTTCAGTGAGCCACGATTGTGCTGCTCTACACCAGCCTGAACAAGAGAGTGAGGCCCTGTCCAAAAATATATAAAAATAAAAAGTATTTATTGAGCATCTACCATGTGCCCACTATTCTAGATGTTGGGAATATGGCAGAAAACAAGATGGACAAGCCCTTGCCGCCATGGAGTCTGTGGTCTAGTAAAGATGCCAAACACACAAATAAATAACATATATAATGGTGATGATACGCTACAAGGAAGATCAAGGAAAGACAGAGTAGGAACTACTTACTGGGTTTGAGGGAGGAATTCCAGTTTTGGTACAGTTCAAGTTTTTTCTTCTTCTTTTTTTTAAGACAGGGTCTTGCTGTGTTGCCCAGTCTGGAGTGCAGTGGCATGATCATGGCTCACTGCAGCCTGGAACTCCTGGGGTCAAGTGATCCTCTTGCCTCAGCCTCCCAAGTAGCTGGGATTACAGGTGTACCCTACCACACCTGGTTAATTTTTGTATTTTTTGCAGAGATGAGGTCTTGATATGTTCCCAGGCTGGTCTTGAATACCTGCACTCAAGTGATCCACCTGCCTCAGCCTCCTAAGTAGTTGAGACTCCAGGTGAGCGCTG